CATATTCCTATGTGTTCATTGAGCTGTGTTGAATACATCAGGACTGCCTTCCACTCAGCTCCTACTCCTTCTGCATTTGTTGTCCAGGTATTGCTTTCCTCTCCCTAGAAAATAGGTAATTTCCGTGACCACTCTTACTGATTTGTGATCACTTTCGGTACAGTTATTGTCTTCAGATTGTGAACCAAGTCTTCCCTGATTCACCTTATGAAGCACTAAGCTGTCTCCAACACAGCCCACAGCCGTGAAGACCTGTATATGTACTGTTCTACAGCTTTTCCAGTAAACATATTAGTAATTAGAAAGACTTGAAGCAGATGGAAGTGTGCAAACACTTTGTAACATGATTGGCTACTGACTTTACTACAGGTGTCTGAAGTAATAACACCGTGTTATCTTCTGTCATGAAGGAAGTTAGCAAGAACAGTAAGAAATATTCTTATGTGAATGTGTTTTCTTGAAATCAAGCAGGTTAAGTTAAATAAACAGAAGTATAAATGCCCTTAAACAATTATTTTAATAGAGTCATAAAGCGGCTAGGAGATCATGTCAGAACAGTGGGAAGGAAGGGAGATGGATGAGTGGAGAGCAGGTAATGCGGAGCTTCACCTCCCTCCTTCTCACACTGTTAACCACCCATCTGTATCGTGGGTGGCAGATGGCAGGAGCTGTGCAGTGCAGGCCATTCCCTTTCCTCCTTTCTTTGCCCCTCTTGCCCGTCAGAGTTGTGTACGATGGTAGCTAGATGGGAAAATCACAGAATGGTTGAGGTTGGAAGGGACCTTAAACATCATCTGGTTCTAACCCCCTTGACACAGGCAGGGACACCTTCCACTAGACCAGGTTGCTTAGAGCCCCGTCCAGCCTGGCCTTGAACGCTGCCAGGGATGGGGCAGCCACAGCTTCTCTGGGCAACCTGTGCCAGGGCCTCACCACCCTCATAGTAAAGAACTTCTTCCTAATGTCCAATCTAAATCTACCCTCTGTCAGTTTAAAGCCCTCAAAATCCTTTATGCGTGGGACATCTGTAGCTATCACAAAAATGGTATCATGATAGCAAGATCTTGTAAGCATTTATCTTTTGGGAATAATAAGTTCATGTTTGATACTAATCAGGCAATAGCTGATGCCTTTTTTTTTTTTTTTTTTTGCTGCTCTTTACCATATTACCTAGGAAAATGCTTTTTGTTAAACTCTTTTTCATAGAACCTCTTTGTCACTTAATACCAAGAGCCCAAGTGTATTTGTGTTTATTATGGTGGAAGTGCAGGCACAGATTGAATTCTTTTCTTTTTCTTTGAGGGCATATGTTTTGGGAGCTGAACATTATGAGTGTTTGAAGCTTAATCCCCATTCTCCCGCCTACTGCCTATTTACTGGCCTCAGATACTCACTTAACCTTTTTCATTCCCTGGTTCCTTCCTCTTCAGCACACGGGTATGCAACTTTAAGTACTTCTCCTGAGGGTTTCATAATTCATTAAAAAATTTCAGCACTTTGAAGACATAAAATATGTATATAGTAAATGCTAAATATTTTTACAGTGGTGCAAGGAAAAGGTTGGTTTCTGAATTTGAATTCATTACCTTCTATAAAATTAATGTTCCGTCTGTACTGCATTTCAGTACCTTAGTCATTCAAACATTAATGAGTGCAGAACTGAGTAATGAGTTTTGCACTGCTGCCCTTGTGACTGGGCATTCATACAATCACAGGAAATTCTTGCTTTCTGCTGCTTCACTTGATTTATTATTGATTTAATAAATCAAGTCACCTGTATTTAAAGATGATTTAGCTTAAGCCTAGATCCTCAATTCTGGAGGTAGGTCTGTGTGATGGGGGCAGTTCACTTGCACATTCTTGGAGCAGACACCTGGAACCAGAATTTGTCTCTCACAGGTGAGTACTACAAACATCTGCTTTTATCCACTCTTCCTTCTCAAAAGAATTAAAAATAAGAATTAGGACTTCATTTATGAAAGGGGTTAAAGACAGCCTGTCTTCTGCAGCTTTAACCTGTGAAAGAGGAAGGTGAAATAGATAGGTGTGAATTCCCTCAGTCAGAGAACACCGTCAAATTGAGACCTCACAGTTTTTGGGGGAGTGCGCTAGCCCCTGAGTTTGTGTTTAGGAGAAGATGAGCTGGGGAGGCAGGGGCAGTGTGGGTACTATTGGCATGTGTAAGAAAGGATTGATTCCCTGCCCTCTTTTTAAATGAAGCAACTTAAACTTTCATACACATTTACTGCAGTGTCATATAACCTGTTCCTGAGTTAGCACCAAAGCAGCCGATAGATGCATCCAGTGTACTTACACATTTAGGTGCTGCAGCATGGTAGGATTGCTGTTGCAGCATCGCTATCAGCGCAGCAGCCCTGGCATTCTGCCGGGAGAGCCCTGCACACCTCTGCTGTGCTGGGACAGGCACTGGCTCCCAGCTGTCACAGTTTAAACCCAGCTGACAACTCAGTACCACACAGCCACTTACCCACCCTCCTCCACTGTCCCCCAAGGTGGGATGAGGTGGAGAATTGAAGAATGTAAACCCTGTGGGTTTGAGATAAGAGCAGTTTAATAATTGAAATAAAATAAAATATAGTGATAATAGAAATAATACCAACAATGACAATACTGGTAATAATAATAGGGAACAACAAAAAAAGAGAAATGAAAATTCAGAGAACCCAAGTGATGCACAATACAATCACCACCCGCTGACCGATACCCAGCCTGACGCAAGCAGCAATCTGGCCCTTCCGAGTAGCTCTCCTTATTTTATATATTAAGCATGATGTGATGTAATATGGAATACCCCTTTGGCTAGTTTGGGTCAGGTGTCTTGGCTGTGCTCCTTCCCAGCTTCTTGTGCCCCTCCTCACTGGCAGAGCATGAGACTGAAAAGTCCTTGATTGGAGTAAGCGCTACTTAGCAACAACTAAAACATCAGTGTGTTATCAGCGTTGTTCTCGGACTAAAGCCAAAACACAGCACTGCAGCAGCCACTAGGAAGAAAAATAACTCTGTTCCATCTGAAACCAGAACACTACCTAAGGCACCACACCACTCCCTAAAGCCAAGTCCTTGGGAGGGGCAGGATTTAAGGATACACCTTTGCCTGCAGAATATCAAGATGACGAGCACCAGCTGTACAATATGATGGCATCACAGCAACCATGTGCCAGCACTGGGGAGAAATAAAACATCTGTAGCACACATTATCATGCTGCCTTACCTTACTCCTTTCAGGACCTTAACAAGTGTGTCCAAATATGTTTTCTTGATTACCAGATGCTTGGGGATGCTGCACCTGGCATGGAAATGCATTCTTTCATTCTTCTCTTGAAAATCAGAGGCACAATCTCCTGCCATGGATTCCCATTCAGGAATTCCCCCCCCCCAGGCAAACAAACATAGACATCACAGCGATGGGCATGATCAGAACATCCAGAAGTCAGTTTGCTTGACATACAGAAAAAAGGGTCATTAGTGCCAACTAGTGCAATGTTCTAATAATGGCACAGCAGAGGAGTGGTGTTTGCTACTGGTCTTGCACAGAGAGTAGGTGTTTGTCACATGGAGGAGGACTGTTTTGTAGCAAGTTGCAGGGGATGAGGTAAAAGACTGTGAACCAAAGTCAAAAGCTATCCAAATGAGCCCTGCACATCATGAAGAAGCGAATAACTTCAAAAACAAGATGAGGGAGAAGAAATTAACCAGATATGGGAAAGTGTAAGAATTAACTGAAGCTGTAGGAAGGGATGTGTGCTCATGCATTTCAGATCATGAAGGAAATAAGGGACAATTAACAAGATTAGGCTGCCATCAGCCTGTCTGGCAGTGCTCAGTAGTCAGTCCAGAGGATGCCAGCCTGCCCTGACAGTAACAAGGTGATAACCTAGTCTGTCACCTCCCAGGCAGCTAGGTTTCAGGCTACAAAAGGTAAGAGCAAGAGCCATGTTTCTAAAAAGAATTGCACTTCTTTGGATTGTTCTGAGCATCGGTGCTAAAATCCTGCTGCTGCTGCTGACAAGAACTGGCAATGCACATTCTTGCTATTGTTAAATAAGTGATATATTAATTGCTATCTATTCTGGATGCTGCAGTTGCATTTTTGATGCGTGTTTATTGCCTTTTGTTGCTGCCTGCCAAAGATACTGTGGGCAGAGACTACAGCTGATGCTTTGTTTTAGTTGCCTGGCTACTGTAAGATGTTATCTTAGCTTTTGCTGAGGTGTCACAGATGCTTTCTTGATGAGTGTCCAAACAAGGAAGTATGTAAAAGATGCTGGTGAATGCTGTGCTTGCCTAGTTCTGTTGCTTTTGCTAGAGATGCTACAGTATGCTTACTTGGTTTGCTACTACAGGCTATCTGTACAATAACGCAGAAGGTAGACTGAAACCTTTCATTTATACAGCGGGGTCGTGGTCAGTGCCAAAGGTAATACTAATCTGTATCTCTGTATGCAAAGGAACTGTTGTTGGAAGGAGATGGTGGGCAACTGCTTCACTTAATTGCAATGCGTTCTTTTCTGGTAATTGCTACAAAGGAAACTTATTTTTCTCGTTGACTGTATTGCCGGATTTTTCTCCTCCTCTCTCCCTATGAAAGTCTCCAACAGAGAGAGACTCAGATCTCAAAACTTAATTGGGATGTTAACTTCAAACTTCTTCCCTGCCAAAACCTGAAAGTAACCAATATTTCTTCTGCTCTCTGCATTTTCTGTTTATGCCTGCATAACTTTATCTCTTTACATCACCAGCACTTCTGACTAAATTGTTTTCTTGTACTCACAATCTGAAACCTCTTCTAAAGTCTCTGAATAAGCTATGTTTCCTTCCAGTCCAAAAATATTTTGTCATCAAATAAATAAAAAATTACTTTTAACAGCTGTTTTACTTCTTTAATATTGTTGCAAGCCTTTTCTTAATTATTCTTGCCTTTTGGCAGTTGCAGTGCATTAATATTTACAAGATGAGATGTAGTTTTCTGTTTATATTAGCAGTCTTCGGTCTGTGAGATCTGGACCAACCAGAATGCAGGATATCCTTTCTCATCGATTCATCAGGTTCATAATGTAAGATACAGTGATAAATGGCTATGTTGTCACTCTATGGATGTACAGTCTGTTGCCATGGTGTTATCTACGGGTGTCATGTCACTAAAATGACAAAAAAAAGTTCGTAACTTGTCCTCCCTCTTTTGGGATTATGTGTGCGTGCATTCGTGTATTGTGCCATGTGGCTAGCATATGTTGGCTGTATGGTGTACATACAGGATGGGGGCATTGCTAGCAGCAGTCTTGCTCAGAGGGAGATTTGACTTCTGTTCCCCATATTTCATTTGCTCACTTTTCCAAAGCGAGAAACTGTGTAAACAGCTTGGTTTGCACAGTTTCACCCCCACAATGTGTCGTGCTGCCCTTTCTGTGTTAACCTATAGGCTTTGCCTAGCTGGGGAACATGCCATGTTTGCAGAGGCACTTTTGGGGAATTAGAGGTAATGCTGATGCTACTCTGAATTTTCATCACTTCTGTGACAGTCACATGTGCTGTGCACGTGAGAGCAAACCTGGTGATCTGTACTGCAGCATGGTAAGGGCGACAACCTGTCAGTCAGCAGAGTATATCAGAGGAACTCTAGATTTCTCCTAATTTGTGCCATATGACTGCCTCCTAGGAGTATTTCTGCCAGAGAGGGACTGTTTTGGCTACTGAGCTTTAGAAGCTTTTAAAATGTAAATACGCCGTGAACCTGCTTCCATTATTTCAAAAGCCAAAGATACAAGGAGCTCAAAAAAATTTCTCTCACTCTAGGAATTAAAATGTACACAAATAAAGAGGATTTGGCTGGTCCACAGAACATTTAAAATTCTTACAGGGAGAAAATCACTGATTTTTCAGCCAGAAGCGTTGTATCTATATGTGCTCCAATTTATTGTTGTCATGGTGACTAATGCATGTTACCATAAGTAGGCATGAGGCTTTAACAGGTAAAAAGTTAGACCATGTGGTCCTTGTTAAAAATGACTATATTCAATCACTCAAAACCAGGCTTTTCTTTTTTAAAATTTTTTCCTGTAACCCAGAGGGTTTTTAACTTGACTTTTTTTTATAAGAAGATGAGGCAGGTTTTAGATTTTATAAAAGTTGCATTGAGATTACTTCTTTACATATTAAAAGACACCTCTTCATCCTCGTCTTTAATATGAGCCAAATTCAATTGTCAGAGAATGGGATGAGAGAAAAATGTGCAACAATTGTAAAAAATTACCTAATAGCAATAATCCACTTCTGTAGCTCATTTGACATCAAGCATCTGATCCTTTTTAGAGCACTGAGAAGTGCATATCTGCCCATTTTTCAGTGTTATGAAGGACTGCAAGAGGATGAGATACTGATCTTTAAGGCTATGACCTTTATGGTTAAAAGTTGTCACTGTAAAGGAATTGAGTCTTTACCACTCTGATACTGGACTTGAGACCATTTTGTGATTGTTAATTCTTTATCTGCAAAATGTGGAGCAAGAAAATCTTCTTTCTCAAGCTGGCTGAAGCCAAAGAGAGGAAAGGCAGTGGTTAAAGGCATGGGGAGGTTAGAATACTAAAACACAGGCAGTACAGCAAAAGCCATGTGATAAATTGCACAGCTGTCTGATGAGCTGTAAAGTTAGATGAAGAATAAATTATCTCTTGCCTTTGTACTTCATCAGTGAGATAAAAATCTCCATATGTATATTGTGTCATAAAAAATACATAAGCTTAAATGTTTGATTATTTCTTATAATTGCAAATTAAATATTCAAACCAGAAAATCCTTACCCTATCATATCTATTTTTAAAAATCAAATCAAATAGCATCTTTGGTCCCGCATGGCAATTTGTGAACATTTCTCTACTGCTTAAAGGTGTTTTAAGTGCTTATGAAGGTCCTGAATCTCACTATGTCACCCATGAGTTATACCAAACCAATTCCTCACATTCAGAATTGCTAGTATTTCATGGTTTTCTACCCCAGACTTGAGACTTGTTGTTTAAAGTCTTCTTTAGGTCAAAGATTTTCTTACTTTGTAGTTTACCTGAAGTTAATTGCCATCGTCACATCCTAAATTGAGAAATTACAGTATCTGACTTGAGTCAGTCCACTGAGGAACTTCTTTTTTCCTGTAGAGGTTTTTAGGCCCAGATTTATGAAAGTAGTTTGCTCTCTAAATCTTTTTTAAAAGCCTTTTTTCCCTTTAAAAAAAAAAAAAAAAAAGAAAGAAAGAAAAAGAAGCAAAATCGTGTGGGGAATACATAGTAAGAATTAAACTTCTGACCGTCTTCATAGATGTGGGCTTTAGAGACTGCTCTATTCTATCTCAGTCTAAGTAGGTAATGAATACCAGCAATAGTATGGTTTAAAAATCTGTGGAGTTTCGTAAGAAACAAAAGGAAGGGAGACCAAAAGCCACTTGTACTGAATATTAGAAAACTCGTCTGATACCGTTAGAAAATTTTATGTCTATGTATAGCATGTCTTCTTCACCTATCATTATAATCTATACCTATGATGTTTAGTTTTATGTAGCATTTCTTAATAGCTGCTCACTCTACAAGTCACATTGAAATACATGAAAGGTCTCCAGGTGCAGAAATCCTGTATCTCTGCATTGCCTTAACCCCAGCTGTATTGTGTGTTTAGATCATCCTAGAGACATGTATAGCAATCTTATCAATTGTGTTTTGTCTAATTTAAAAAGAGTAGGTACTAGGATGATTGTATGTATTTATAGAGCAATTAATGGATACAAACAAATGGTCTCCAAACAGTCCCTCTCTAAGTGTCTCATACACTAGTTTTATTAACCTGGTGGAAGATTATTTCTTATTTTCTCATGATTATTGCTTCCTAACTCTTTTATAAAATTGAACCAATATGAGAGGTAATCAGGAATCCTCTTTTTACCGCCCTTCATTGACAGAAAGAAACAATGCAGTTCTTCATGCTTTTAATATCTTCCATGCAAAAGCGAGTCAAACTGTAAAATGATGTGCTCATTTTACTCCTTATGTACCCTGCTTTATTTATCAGTACTGTCCATTTTCTGCGTGCAAGGACAGTCACCTGCACAGCAGTGCAACAAAAGGGTTTGGAGCACCACCCAGGGTTATTGCTACCCAGAGTCACTTGTTCAGTAGAAATTATAGCCCTACTTCATGGCCATCCGCATGTTTCCTTGGTGGAAAGACCAGTGGTTAAAAGATACACTTTTATAGCTTCTCTGTCCTGGAGTTACTCCTGTTCCATCATAGTAACATTTTGCTAAATAGATAGGATGTACCTCCTGAGATCTGCTTCCTCACACAGAACATGCGGGAGTGTTTCTTTATTAGGAAAAAAAAGAGGCTATATCAAATGGTCTGTTAGCTATGGCCTTGAACAGTTCATAAAAAACAGTTGAGCACACTAGGAGAATTTGTCATGGGTACAATCCATCTTCTCTTGTAGTCAAATACAAACTGCGCTAACAAGGATGCAGGTCTTTGCCTATTGTAATACAATGGAAACCTCATTTTATAAGGAGAACTGCTTCTTAAAGAAAAAAAAATTTCCACTTCAGATTAAATATGATAGAAGGATAGAAGGTGGTCAAAAGTTTCATTTCTATGGATACAGAATGCCACAAATTGGAGCAATTGCTCCTGCTGCTTTCCTTTCAAAATTTGAGCTTGAAGTCGTATCCATAGCATATAGGCAACTTAACTAAGCAAAATAGAAATTACAGTACTGTATAATTTGTAGCTGTGCTGATAGTGCCAACATTAACTGGATTTGACTTGTTTTATGATGTTACCTTGCTTGAAGTTACCATATTGGCAGGGTAATGTTGATGTTTCCAGATTTATCTCTTGCTTTTCATTGCAGAGTTGTGCAAATGCGTGTCATTTCATTATTTTGTGACACATGAAAATTATGTACTTGTTTTGTTTACTCTGTCCTGATTTAATTAGTAGGATGTGATAGTTTGCCAGACTTTTGAATGTCTTCGATAAGATTTTTTTCATGTGTTTTTGATTCTTAACTTATTTTTGCTTTAAAAGTCTTAACTTCTGGCCATATTCTGTGTGAAATGCTGATGACAATTCTTTGCCAGCTTCAACACATATTTTAACAACATGACATGCACAGAAAATACACAGAGATAAGTGCAGGTAAAGAAAGAAGTAGCATGATCCAAATTGAAATAATCATATAGGACAGGCAGAGAAGGAAGAAGGATAAGGAGGGAGAAATCTGATCCCCAAAAGATAGATAGGAAGGACAGGAATTCAGAGACAGACCAGAACAGACCAGACAGGATAGGGGAGAAGTGGGGCTGGTGGCAAAGGGAAGGGGACTTGGGAAGAGGAGGACTCCATCCACAGGTCATTTTCTGTTAAAGTGAGCTGATACTGGTTTGGCAGCATGGGCACCAAAAGTAGGAGAGGTTGCAGTTAAAAAGTAAGTAAATAACCTTAAAATAATACTTTTCTTTGCAAGGGTCTGTAAGGTGGAAGGAGTCCCCAAGAGCCCAGAGGTCAGTCCAGGTCCAGTAAAGCCATGTCCAAAAATATGCAGTGCTGGGCAAGACCCAGACCAGCACAGCCATGCTGGGGTCATGCCTGTATCAGTGCCTATGTTGACTCTTTTTGGAAGGGAGAAGAGTATCCTGCAAAAGGATTTGGCAAACTGCAGTCCTACCCTTGTTTTCTGAGGGCTTTGAGGAAAGAAGGGAGATGACAGCTCAGGAAGGCAATCACCTGTATCAATGTGAATGACGGATATGGAAGGGCAATGTTAATAACTCTACAATGAGATATCAAGAGAAGGTGTTCAAAGCAAATATTAAAGAGATTAAAGAATGCCTAATATATTTGAAGAATGTGCAGTAAGTTTTCAGATCAAAGGAAAGTCTATGTTATTTAGTCGTTTAGTAAAGTTAGTTATCGATTATACGTGCTGGGTAATGGAAGACCTTTTAACTGCATAGAAGAGCTTGTAAAACACATAGCGGAATTTGTGAATGGCATTTTTGTGCATCTCATTGCTTTCATCCTCATATATGTATTGTAAACAGTTATTTTTAAGGAACGTTTCCAGAGCCTAATGATTTTATTCTCAAAGCAAATAGATTTAATTAAAGCCTCATTAAACACTACAGTAGATGACTTTGGATTATAAATTAAATCATGCAAAATGTTGTAGGAGTTGTGTTCCCTTATTTTAGTAACATGGCTCTATGTGTATAAAATAAATTATTGTTAATTGAGCACAACAATGGAGGGTTAGTTTATAGTGAATTTGCCTGCGACTTCTCTTATATCTTCAACAACTATGATTTTCAGACAGGAGACTGGGGAGAGCCTTCCATTACCTTGAGACCTCCAAATGAAGCCACAGCATCAACGCCTGTACAATATTGGCAACATCATCCAGAGAAACTCATTTTCCAGTCATGTGATTATAAAGCATTTGTAAGTGTTGATAAATTTAGTGGTTTGATTTGGGGTGGATATATTAACTTTAGATTTTGATAGGCTGGGTTTTTTCATTTGTAATGGTTTTTCAGTCACTTCTAATGAGATAAGCCACTTTTTCTGAAATACTGTAATTGTAATAAATGAGAAACAAGTATGCACAGTACCTTTTGCTGTGAATTTTGTAATATATTGCAGTTCATGCAGCAGTAGTCTTAAAGAAATGCACTATGAGTAAGTGGCTAAGTGTTGTAGAAGTGACAGTGAGAGCGGACACCCCTACTTGTAATCTGTCACAAATCTCTTTCTGTGATTGTCCCCAGACGGTAACTAGAACCTCTGCTTTCCTCAGCAAGTCACAGTAAAGGTCCAGTCTGCCTGCTCTCAGTCTTGTGTTCCTCCTGTGAAGCACTTCAAATTGAAAAGGAAACTTGGTGATTTCTAGTTCTTTAAATATTTTTCATAGTTTTCAGTAAGAAACTTTTCTTTAAGAAAGGAAGGTGTTTCCTTCATCACCAGTAACCTGAATATTGCTGTATTGTCTCAACTCCCACAGTTGTATTGACCTCAGCTTTAAAACCCTGGCTTGGAAGTTATAATGAGGGCAGCTTTCATTGTATGCCACATCACTCAGTTGAACTGTTGGATGTCCTCTGTGTTGCTCCCACATGCTCTGGGTCTTTCAGAAGGAGCATTTCCAAAAGCGCACCAAGTCAAAGGAAAGCAAAATTCCTAGAATTTCCAATTTATCTGACAACTAAATTGGGCAGTACTTCTGTGATTTGTTTGTCAATTCCACAGTCCACCCTGAGAAGCATTTCTGAATGCTTGCAGCTGAGGTAGGAACAGGAGCTGCCCATCTCTTTTTCTTCCTGTTGTTCTGCCATGAGCCTTTTTTCCCTGGTGCCTGACCAGCTGGTAGCTTTCAAGGAAATACCAGTATATTGTGCCATAGTCCATTAAAAAAGAAAATAAAATAAATTGAAGAAATTGTGTCCTTCCTAGAGAAGACTGAGGATGCCAAAGATGGTAGACAGCAGGATCCAGAGAAATTCATAGTCCAACTCAATACGCTTTTGTTTAATTTTCTAATTTCAGAGCTTGCTTTAAATTCACTGCTCTTCTCCAAGGGCAATACTAAGCCATTCCATCAAATTAATGCCCAAAGCCCTGTTCATGTCACCACTGGGCCCCCAGCTGGACTTGCAGCTGCTTAGCTTATGAATCTTCACAGGAATGCCCTTCATTCATTCCTTTCTGCTTGTGCTTACCTGTTAGTGTTGATGTTGCTTACCCTTACGTTTATAATGCCCTATAAAGTTTCTCACTAATTACCATGTTGGCTACTGTCTACATTGAAATATTTATGGATTTTCCTGCAGGTCAGAGACCCCTGCGGTACTCAGTGTGAACTGAAGGCTTTAAAGAAAATATCTCAGTTTAGGTCAGGAGACCAGAGATGAACCAGTACACTTTCTGCTCTGTCCCAGCTTGCATTCAGCTGTAACTGAAGTTATTTTTGATAAGTTCTTGTTTAAGATGAAGCTGGTTCACTGTCTGGTTGGGTCAGCTTAGTCTGTTTCCAAGGGGAGTCAGCGTGGTAGAATGAGAGGGATGAGACAGGGGTGGTGGGCTGCAGCATCCTCTGGGAAGAGGTTCCTGCCCTTGGCACTTTCCCTCCTCCTGCAGTTTACTTACCCCATTCTCTCCAGGGGCAAGACTTCTCCTCAGCTCCTGTGTTGCTCACTTGGGACTAAAGACTTAAGGGAAGCCATGGATGGCATTGTGCTGCAGTGAGAATGCAAAAAGACATCTCTGCGCCTGGGGAGAAGACATGGGGTGGCTTGCTGTCCCCTTTCTCCAGTTAAGCCAGAGTTGCATGAGGCACCATGCAGAAATACAGGAACATCCTGTTTACTCAGAGCTATGAACATGTGCACATCTACAAATGCACACGCCTGTAGCATCTCTAGGAGAAATGCAAGCATGGCTCTCACACAGCCTTCTTAGCAGTAACAAGACCACTTGAGAACAACAGGGATGATGCAGCCAGCTCCATCCCTGGAGGAGCAGTGCCATTCAAACATGGTGTAGAGAGGGCCTGAGACCTCCAAGGATTAAATCCAGAGGAGAGAGCCCACTGTCAGGGTGCAGGAGGGCTCAAACTGTTCATGCCAGCAAGTGACATAGTGAGGAAGAGGCAGGTAGGAAAGAGGATGTGTCAGTGAGGTACTCACTATGCCTTGTGTACCCTCAGAGATGAGCAGGCTCCTTGGAGAGCACAGAGGCTTTCAGCGAGCTGAGCCAGGACCCAGCACCAGTACCCTGCTGCTTCCTCTCACCCAGCCCTCCCTCCGATCACTGAAGGCTTCCAAATAATAGTTCAGGGTCAGCCTTTTCTTAGGAAGAAATAATGATTTAAACTAGTTTTCAGTTCAGATTTATTTCCTCTGTTTGGTGACATTGGGTTCTGCTATTTGCACATAAATTAGTTACAGATTGTGTACACAGAGGTTAACATCACTGCTGCCCTTCACATCCATGTGATTGCACACATAGCAATATGAGTTTGGCAGATGGAAGCTAAAAAAAGCAGATTCTCCATTTTTCACTTAAATGGCTTTTTTTAAGATGGGGTCTGTAGTATTCGCTTGTTGTTTGAGTGACTAAGGTGATAAGCTAAAAGACTTTCAGATACTGTTTCAAAGGGCTCCATCTGATTCACTACACTTGTTGCTGTGCATTCCTGTTTCATAGGTTGATTAACACACTGGTTTAAATGATTTAACAGAGAACTACAAAGTGAAAAAAATCTATAGAAATATATTAAGTTGCTGCTACCACTATGATTTTTTGGCATTTTTTAGTGCATTTGTGCAGATGTTTATTTGTTCTGGAATTCTAAATTAAGTTTAATGGATTTTTATCTTAGTATTTAGGTTCTATGCTGGTAAAAGAATTAAGAGGCACAGAGTCAACACAGGATGCCTGTGCAAAGATGAGGGTAAGTTAGTAAACCTACTCCTTTCTTTATCATCATAATATTAAATACTATCAACTTGTGATTGTGTACTGTGCCCTTTTTGCTTTTATAATGTTCTGTTGCCCATTTGTTTCTCATTGCCCTTGCATTTACTTTGGTATTCAGTAGGAAGTCTCTTCTGCCTTTTATCTTAATCTCAAGTAGTACCCAAATTTAAAGGTATATTTTTATTTTGCATTTTGTATTTAAGAAAAAACCCCTAATGTATGCATTATGTTTTCTCTTGAATCTTAAAGTATGTTTCCACAGACTTTAAATGTGCCCATATCACATTGCTTTTACAAAAAGAATCTGTAGCTCACGTATGATAACTACATTGAATTTATTATGTGAAAATATGTACTAGTAAATATATTAGCGTGCTACCAAAACTATTGTTTTTTACGTATGGTCTACTCCTACAGTCACATAATCCTATGGATGCTTTTACTCACATGAGTATTCCCACTAATTATGAGTTACTCACATGCTTATTGATTGAAGCATGAAAAGAGATCTAATTCAGTTTCACTTGATGGTGGAAAAGCATTTAGGTTTCCTTCAAACTAGTAAGAAGATGTTTTTCTATGGCTCTGGTTTGTAGAAAATTCCAATGAGGCTTAGTCTGTCTCCAAGAAACATACTGCTGCTGGAAACTCAGAACAAGCCACTGGCCAGCTACACGATTTACTCCCAACTGTATCTGTAATAAGAATGCACCTGTTCATAGAAATGGTGAACATATTATGGTCTTGCATGATTAGTTAATGAAGAATATAATTGTTTGGTAATCTACCAAATGTGTAAAATTACATAGATGAATGAGGGAATTTCTTTCTTCTGTGGATCATAAATCTTTTATGCATGATGCCTCTGAGCATTAGAGATAGCATTCAGATCAATTAGAAAGCTGGAAGATGTGTAAAATTCATGCAGTCAAACAGCCATTTCCTATTGGTTACATATCTGCAGCATACAGACTTTCGTATAAGATGTTTTAGCTAAGGGCTGGCTGTAATTCGCACTTACTAGATTGCCTGAGATCTGTAGTTTTCAGTTAATTACATGCTAATCATTCCTCACCTGGGCTTAAACTCCTCTGAAAAAAACCCAACAACTTGACACAGAAGGATCTACAATCACATATGCATGTTCTGGGGCATTAATTGAGGCTGCAAGCACACCACCTTCCAATCCAGTTTTCAAACTGTCTGCCTTAGCAGTTCAATTATTCAGGAATATGCATATGAAGATCTTAGGGCAGAATTTGACACCATAGTAGCATATGACAACTTCAGTAAGTTTTCTGACTGAACTAGGAAGCTTAACATCAAAAAAGTCTCTTTAAATAATTTATAGCCATTTCGAGATATTTTTAAAGTGATACATTTGGCAAATTTAAATTATATACCTGATAAAATAAGTGTTTGAAAACAAATTTAAAATACATTTTTCTCTATAAAAATAATGGAGTTGCATAGTAATCTATAGTGCTATACACATGTAATACAGTGATGGGGTTTCTATACATTTATTTTTTACATTCTCTTTTGAAACCATTGTGCTGTGAGAATGTTTATTTTCTGGTATGAGGGGGTTTTATTGCAAAGAGGTTTGAATAAACCAGTTTTTTAATCAGGATTTCATCTATTCTTTCTATGTAGTCATTTTAGTCATATTCCTATTCAAGTCAGAAACAAAAAAAATTGACTTAATGGGAGCAGATTACTATTTTAGCATAAGTTTCCCAGTGAGAAAAATGTATCTTTTTCCGAAACTTTCTCCCTATGGTTGTGTTCCAAAAGTTGGTGTCTATGCATTGGGAGTCCAGGTTGTCCTAAGTAATCCTGAAGTTTTCCTGTGGTGTGCTTTTTTGTATTTAAGTACCAGTGGGTTGTCATTGAAAATGTGGCTTCTTTTATAGTTACATTTTAATTTAAATGTACTGAAAGGGACATTTCACACAATGAAAAGAAACAAAAACCTAGCTATATTATTTGACTACTTCTCAGGTACTGAATTTTGTCCACTTGTGCAGCATCTTTAGAGTTAATAAAATTTTTACATAGGATTGTACTAACGTGATAGGGCAACATTTTTTAATTTTAGTGTTTTATTTTGTTTTCCATTTATGTATTTCAAATCTATAGCATGCTGCAGTCTGAAACATGTTGGGAGAGAGCATGTCGCATATAAGCTTGTACCACGTTCAGGTTTTTTAATCTTTCTGGAATCAGCCACATAATGGTTTTTAAGGATAAGGTATTAAAATTAGGTACCTAAGTTTTCTGTCAATGTGGCTTTAACTTGTCCATCTTTAACCTAATGCTGCTCAAAAAAGAGTTTATATTCACTGGGTGCTTTCCAGTCAACAGATATGCAAGGACGAAAGAAGTCAATCGGTGAAAAAAAGTATGTAGATCTTCCCTAATCATTCACAGATACAGAGAAACAACAAAATGACATATTTGCTGACTGCAGATCCCTCACTGTTAGTTGTAGAAGCTTCCTGTGCTTTCAGTTACTGCAACTGATGGTTTTGGTCCTCAAGGGAAGTGTCATGTGGATATCCCTCACATCTCTCCACAGCAGGGCTTACAGCAGCCTCGTTGTCTTACAACTTAAGAGTGAAGGGAGGTCCTAAATCTCCTATAATAAAAAATACAAAATAAAAATAAAAAAATAAAAAAACAAACCACCAAACCTGTCTTACTAACTCTTCTTGGCTATCCACTCTGCTTCTCAGCGTTGTGCAGCAGTGTGCTCCAGCAGGGCAGATGATAAATTTGTTTGGGGAAGATCATGGAGACGCAGTAGATTGAGCTCAGCACAGTGGTCAAGGTTATACATTCTTTTTCTTCCCACCCAAATTACAGATTTTTGCAGCCATCCAAAATTACGGATGTTTGGCAAGAACTATATCTATTAGAAGGATTATACTTTGTTTTTCCATTCACATATTTGTGCTCCATGGATGGATTTATATTTTATGGTTTCCTGTTTGTTTCCAGCTATTTTCTCTCACAGACACTCTCTCTGCAGTTGCCAGCAATGTCTCCTTATCTCCGTTCACCTGTTGTAAACTGACTTTTGCTACTTGGAGATTAAATCTTGCTGTCCTGGCCGGAATAGATTTGTTAATTATATTTGAGAGGTGCCTTCAAAAACTTAAGGGCTTTCATCTTTCTCAGCGTGGAATAGGAAATATTACAAGTTGTGTTTTCAATCAGAAATTACCGCCTTCACTTCAAATCACCATAGGAACACAAAGTGAAAATAAAATGTGTTTACATTAGAATAAAGAAAAGGATTAAAGTTTAATTAGAGCTAGGAAGAGACTTGTTCACTACGGTCAACTCCATCTGGCATTTACACATCTGAATGCCTTGACCAGGTATGAAGGGGACAGTTTTATACTTACTGGCACGAGCACAGCAGCAAGGTAGACCCTTTCCTTGCAGTATTATTAAATCACTAATGTTGCATACACCAATTGCACAGTCTGAACCAATCAGATATATACTACAGCAGTAGGGAACATAGGTTTTACTGTTGGAGCCTGCCACCTTCCTGAATATTATGTATCTTTCTTAAAGGCATTCTTCTTAGAAAAAAAGTTCTTACATTTCAAGTCAAAGTTCTGTGAAACCAGCAACATAATTCTATTCATAAAGCAGGTGTTTAAATATCTTGCTGACTTAAGACTGAAAGTTGGAATTGTTACAAAATCTGCAGATAAAGCAGAGGTGACCCCTTCACTGAAAATAAGCAGGGTCTGGAGCATTCCTTCCTCTTTTCTTCTTATGTAAAGGATGACCTGGATATAGATGGCAGTCTCCTTGTTTCTGCTAATCCATTTCTACTTTTCAATCTCAATTTAATTTCTACCCCCAAATGTAGAAGTGTCTTGCACAGGCCTCCTAGTGAAACTAGCCAGGCAAATACCATGTCAGGATCAAATACACTATTTGAGAATTCAGATACTTCAATCTCTGTTTTCATGGGGCTTGTAGCTCAGTCTCTCATGTGGCCACCGCTTCTGGGGGGGTCAGCATTGAAACAGGCACATGAATATTATTCAAAAGGAAAAGAGAACTGGTGGGACATTTAAAAGATGTTCAGTGCTTACACACACCCACATCATACCGTCCCATCCCATGCCACACGTGCCATGTTCTTCAGAGGATTGTATGTCTTTGAACTCTGTGACTAAAAGGAATCCAAGGTGCAGGAGGGATGCACTGCCCTTTCAGCAGCAGATGAGTGCATACAGATATGGCAAAAGCAAAAAACCTCTTTCTCAAGTAGACAAGTTGCAGGTGTATCCCCAGTGCAATGCTTATATTGATGATGTAGCTTGGAGGCATTCACTAATTGTAGGAAAGTAAACAGTCTTGTACCACAGGGACTACAGATGCTATCTTATTCCAAGAGGTATTAAATTATGTCAGTGATGCATATTTAAGACTTTTGGACTGAGAGAAGTTTGTAAGTACATGTTACAAGAGTTTCAAAAATGGCTTCAAAACTGACTGGCCAAATGTGAATTTTGATTTCTTACTTCAATTTCATTTCATGCATGATCTTGTCAGAGTGATTCACTCAAACAGAACTATTTAATGAGGCTTCATAAACCTTAAATAAATAACAGAGTTATGGGCAGATAGTAGGTGACAGCAATATGTATTTTGAAACGTGCAGGCTGATGCTATTTGGAATTAATAGTTGCTACCAGTATGGGAAAATGTTCAGATTCTCATAGTGAAGTGGATTCCAGTACATAATTGAATAGAAAAATTACCAGTTACAGTCTTCAGATAGCTATTAAAAAACAATATAGGACAGAATTAGCAGATTAATTTGCAAAGGTAAAAAGCCAAGATGAAAACTTCAGATATTACAGGCTCATAAACTTGTACCCAGCAGTTATGTATGGAATTGTTAGTGACTTGGCATAGTTCAGTAGTGTTTTTTATTGTGTATTTGCAAGATCAAGTATAATTACATATTCAATAAAACCTAAAAATTAACATGGCTTCATTTTTGCCACTGCATGAAAGCTGAGTAATCCAATTATAAATGCATATGTAAGTACATGAAAGTGGTCAACGTGGCAAAGTAGTGCTACAATATGTCAATATGTGTGTGTTTGCTCAGAGATACTGTGTTTTGTACACTTCAGGAGTATTTAAAAGTGTTGGATTAGTGCTCTCAGTTCTGCACAGAACAAGGTATTACAGTACAATCCGGACTTGAAAGGGTTAAAGGTCTTTTACAGTTGTGTTTGCATGTATTTGCATTTTAAAAATAAAAATAAAGCTAGTTTCTATTGCTTTATTCATAGAACAAAGTCCTCTGCCTCTTAAGCTATTGTTGATTACCTTGACTTGTTAAGCGCACTGGCTGGGTAGATCTCAAATGAGTTGGATTTTATTTTGTATTCAAAATAAATGTCTAGCAGTTCTGCACAGCCTTTAACTCAAAATCAAAATACAGGTGGAAATGCTTTACCCACTTAAGACAATTTGTAGTACTAAATCATGGCAATCTGTTTAGAGTCTGCTTGCGAGTATGGTGGGTTTTTTCAGTGAAACTAAATTCATAAAGATGACGAGAAGCAAGCACTTGCTCTCTCTCTCTCTGGCACCACTGTGCTGTTGCATACCTTTATGACTAGTTTCAAAAGGAGGAATTCGGAGCAGCCCTGTCCAAGGCTGTTCAGGGGTTTGGCACTGTCCTGTCTAATGGTAGCTGTGGGTTCAGTTGCACACTCAGAAGGGAATTAAATCCAGTCCTTTAATGTAAAAGCAAGCACTGTAATAACTAGACAGTTACACAGCAGATGCCTTCTGCCTCCTTCCACTGGATGGATCTCCTTTCTGGGTGCTGAGATGAAGCAACTTCATTGCAGCAGCTGTATTAAAGTAGTGGCAAGCCTTCTATTCCTGTTATTCTTTATTCTGTAGAAGAAGAGGCTCTGTGTCTTTTGGAGGGGATCTGGGAAGTTGAACGTAAGTCACATTACATTCAGAATGGTGGCGCTTTCTTCCACCTTCCTGTGTCTAAAGTCAAGCCTGCTTTGTGGTTCTCAAGTTACACATGGCCAACTTTCACATAGTCATCCACCTGTCTGGTAGGAAGTGTTTCAGAACTAGGACCACAGCTCAGTCTCTCTGGCATTGCAGGCTGTGCAGCGTTATGACTCCTCACTGCAGGAGCATTGTACCTGAGGAGACAGGGCATGCACATCTGTCCTTGTGTAGGCACTGGCAATGAGCCTAGAGTATGCTTGCTGTTCATCCAAATGATTCTGCTAAAGAAGTGTCTTAAAACAGAGACAAAGTTACGGTCACAAGTGATGGAGTTTGTAGAAACTATGACCAGTTTCAGGCTAGTGAGCACTTGCCCAAAGACAGGGCCCTGTCACTATGATTGCTTCTACATGAGATAAAATCTAATTCTGCTACTATGTTATGAACATGCCTTGGAGCATTAGACCATATGTCAGCATGCACATGGCATACAATGCCAGCCTTCAGCTGTGGCTCCTATAACTTTGGCTCAAGTCCACATGCTTCCCATAGAGGCACCAGATGGACAAGAATGTTTTGTCATCTCATCATGTCCTCGTGGAATTGATACGGTGGCTAGGACCTGAAAAGCCCATGGAAAGAAATACTGACTCCTGTGTCTCACCTTCTTCTCAAATTCTGGTCACAGGCACAAGCAGAGATGCCCACTTGGCCTGCACAGAAGTGTGAAATGTCTGACCATGAAAGCTGTGGGACTTCATCTCAGCATCCTAGAATTTAGAGCCAAAGCACTTACAGTGCCTGAGCAAATGGTTTTCATATTGTATCTCTGAAAACTCACGTTACACATTCTGGCAGCCACCTCCTCCTTTAAAAAGAAAAGAACAACAAGCAAATAGGATGAGCTCACCATGACAACTCAAAACTGTTCAAGCGTGGAAACTGCATGGAAATAGTAATTATATGGTGGACTTCAGTTACTGTATCACTGAGAACTGAGCAGGGGGAATAGAGCTGTTTGTTTTTCATGATAGCACTGTCATAGTAACAAAGGATGTTACTGCACTGCCCAACTGTTTGTTGCAGTGGGGCTTACAAGTGCAGAATTGTTTCCCAAAATCATGTTTCTACACTGGACTACAGTCTTCCAGAACATGTTTGCACGAATCCTGGCATTTGTATGGTTTGCCAGCTGATAATGAACATTGCCTGCTCTTTACCAGCTGAGACAGTTTGGCTTAATAAATTACAAATGTCCATCAGTCTCTGATTCATTTCCTAATTTGCCAGCTATAATTTAATAGTATCTTGATGAGCTGTTTCACTCAGATACAGTCCTCTAGCAGTTCACAACCTCAATTAAGTAGTAAAGATCATGTCTGCTCTAGATAAACCCAGGTGAATGTGGAGCAGACAGTGAAGATGATTAAATTACTAACTACTGGTCTAGAGGAAAGAGGACTTCCAGATGGTCGGTACAACGTGGCCTTGAAACAGGAAGCTTCACCTTTATGGCAATGGAAGATAGAGCAAATTAGACCAAAAAGCTATAATAAATTAACTTAGTAGCCGTGTTTGTATAGTGTGTTGGAGGAGAAGAGGAATTTTGCCGCTAAGGAGGCAAGGAAGGAGATAATTACAATAATCAAAATGGGAGACAAAGAGCTCCTGAGTGTAGCTGTTGGGATAGAAAGAAAGGACAAAAGTTGGATGATTGCTGGGTTGCCAGATGATTAAAGTGATGTTGACATATTTGCGAATATTTTGTCTGGTTATGAGCGTATGCGGGGTATATTGCTTGTTATTCTGATAGATGTATGTACTGCAGCTTCTGTAGAGTCACTGTCGTGCTTTCTGTGCAATGAATTTTATGAAAAGGCTCATTTAAGATCTATTATAGAGACACACACACAGAGGTATGTACTTGCTCTGCTTTTGGCAGGGATGCCATTTCTTTTTCCACTCAGTTGAGAGTCATGCAAATCAGATTAGTATCTTCCTTCAGATTTTGTTAAGAGTCTTCAGGATGTTTTACCATTTAAGCTTTCATTTTTTGAACAGTACCTAGTGTTCTGGGTGAAAGAAGCTTTCTCTTGGATAAACTGATGCTTGTTGTCTTCAGTCACTTGTCATTCGATACTGAGAGATGCAGCGGTCCTCTCTATTTCGTGGATGCGTGGGGATCTCCTTGAAACTTTAATTAGAGGTTTTAGCCTTCATGGCATGGACACTAATTGCAGAATGTAGCTGGATCTGTAGCTTTGAATTTTATGCTGGCAAAATTGGAGTCTCATTTGATTCTGGAAGGAATGAGAGCTGATAAAGGACTTGATTACAGCTTTTTTTCTTCTAAGCTTTTGTTTGTTTTGCTCTTTAGTGTTGGCATCACCTGTTCTTCAGACTTTTTTTTTTTTTTCTCAGAAACAGTCTGTGTTTTTAAGCTTTTATCTGTACTGTTTCATTTTCCTTTAAGAATACAAAACCTCTGCTGCTCATTTTGTCCAGCTGCTCTAATGATCTTTCTGGGTGCCAGTTCTAGACCTTTCAGTGTGTTTATGCTCTCATTCTGTGTGCTGATGTTTGTTCATATTTAGCTGTAACTGACTTTACATTTCCCCCTCAAGAAAATGTTTGATTGATCTCTGTGATTGTTTGCAGATACTCCCATGAGTGAGTGTTATTTGAATGTTATCTATTTTATTTATCTACAGTAGTTTTGTACAGAATAGTTCGGTCGTTGCCTTCCACCTTAAAAGAATTCAAATCAGCTGTGAACTGTTATGCCCATATTTGTTTTGTTGGTTCATTGGTTTTGGGGTTGGTTTAGTAAATTTGATCTGTAAACTAATCAACAGATTTTTCTGCAAAGAACTTAAATCTATTCCAAATATTTTTCCAACCTGCTCAGCAGGAAATATCATTGCTGTGTGCATCATGTTGACAGCACACAGAAATAGGCAGCTGTAAAGAAAAGATAGCTGTATAGAAAGACATGAACTGTAGGTAGGAACTGTGGCACTGAGGGAATGCAGAGTAAGCCTTGGTGCTAATTCATGGGAAAAGCAGCTTTCAGCAGCAGTTGCACTCAAGGAAGTGCAGACGGCCAATCGTGACACAATACTGTGCTGGACTGACAGACTGACTGGCAGGGATACCTTGTGTCACGAATACAACTGCAAGAAGGCAAGAGAGGGAAATATTTCTAAATGATAAGTAGTTGCAGCAAAGAAGCAGTACTAGGGGAAGTACTGCACTGTTGGTTTTTACATCTGGGATGAGCAGGAAAAGGGGAGGGGAGGCAGGCATGAATGGGGCATATCAGATAGATCTTAAAGAGACGCGTTTTGGGAAACCCCTGATTGCATTACTGGCCTTTTTAAGCCTGGGAAAATAATTTCATTCTCTTCCCATCATGCTAGGGAAAATGAGAATTTTCACCATACTTGCAGCAAACTGTAAAAATCTTCTTAGTCTTGTAACTACAAGGCAGCTATTTCAAAAGCCCAGAGCATAGCCAGCTCAAGAAAAAGTCAAGTATTTGGCGAAGTACCTTTTGTTTACCTTACTTATTTTGACAGAAGAAGAGAAAGAGCACTGGTCTTGCAATGCAGCACAACTCTAACAACATCTTCATTTTGATTCCAGAAGTCTACAGAACAAATGAAGAAAGTACCAACCATTGTCCTGTCCGTCTCTTACAAGGGAGTCAAATTTATTGATGCAACAAATAAGGTATGTGTAATTATTCAATATTAGCTTTTATTTCTCTCAAATAGGAATATGAGACTGGCTCTCTAAGAGCACCAGTACAGAGAGTGGACAGAGTTGCACTTTGTGTTTTCCTCTCTTTTTTATCTTCTTTCCAAAATGGATATAATGTCACTGTCATTCTCCAGAAACTCAGTCTGGAGGACAAATGAGGCAGCTTTAATGGCTCATTTGGTGAACAATGTCCAACCTTCTGCCATTAAAAGGCAAGCTTATCACAAAAGACATTTGGCAGTGAGCCTCTGTGGAATCCTTTACCATATTTTTTCCTATACAGTTCCTTAAATATACAGAAAATATATGCATATTTGTTCATTAATATATTTGGGGGGGAGAAGCGAAGAAAAGATGCATCAATGAAGACTAAAGATGCAATGTTTTATACAGGGACAGCCATTGTGAAAATAAGAAACATGGGCCTTGAATGTTCTTCTCACATGCCAGAGGCTCTCTGAGAGCTGTTTTCCTGGTACTAGCCATTTGACCCCTTGAACTGCAGCAGCTTCTTAACAGTTGTTATTCCATATTTTTTTCATCTTCCTGTGTGGCAATGCCCCTGTGCTTTGTTTCTTACATTTTAGAATACATCCAACATTCTTTAAAAATGAAAAAAGGGAGAAATTGAGAGATCAGAGAACTCAGTGATGGATACAGCAATGGGTTATTGCTTAGCCAAAGTAAACAAGCTTACAAGCTCTGTAAGCAGGTGTAAAGTAATGCATGAATTTCTCTTCTTTGGATGTCTAAAATGGCAAGAAAATGCAATCCATGCTGATGCTTGCATATGAATAGAAGTAAAATTACCTTTTCTGTTATGTGACTAAAACTCACTAAGCAATATGAAAAATAAATTTGACAACCCAGCTACCTGACCAGGTTAATAATGTATACAACTGCTTTGTGTTGCTGAACATTCAAACCACGATACATCTAATCCAGTATCCGTCCGACTTGCCGTCAGTCAGTTTTTAAAGGTGTTTACCTAGAACTGAGTTTTAAGTGAAAGAACAAAAGCAGATTTTTGAACTTCTGGTAGAGTTTGGAAGCCATATCTAGGGTTAGAAGATGGCATGAAAGAATAAGAGAGATGAAATTGCTATTATGTCAAGTATGGTGTATTTGCCAGAGCAGAGAGGCCAGGGATTCCTGTCAGCTCCTTTTTCTTCCATTGATTCAAAACTGAGCTTCTACAACCCTCATTTCCTTTATGTTCTCTGATGTGCAGGGCACATATCAGGACATTGTAATGCTGTTAACTCTAACTTGAATAAGGCTGTTTTCAGCTCTTATATCTCTGTAGTATAAAGGATGTAACTTGAGTGTCCATAGCTTTACCAAAAAAAACCCACAAAAAACCTCAGGAGAACAAAAGGAGCTTCCAGTATCTCTTTGCACAGTGCATATAATCTTATGTAAGATGGAAACTTGAAAGAAGTTTGGCAAACTGCATTAGCTCTAGACCAGTCCCACTGAAATCCTACGCCTGATAGTGCAATAGATGAATTTGATGGAGGTAAATAATGCCACAGTGTTTTTTCTCAAGTGGTAGATTGCTTTTTCTCCAGTTCAAAATGTGCGCTGCCTTTCCCTTCTGTAAAAACCAGGTAATAGCCTGCACCTCTCCCAGAAGCGTTGTTATCATCCTTGTCCACAGTGTGCTGTACCCAATTCCTTCAAGATCCAAAACAGATTAGCACTAAGGTGAGATCATATTCAGACTTGTACCGCTTCCATCTGAGCTTATAGTTGACAGCGCTGGGCACCACTTAGCAATAAATGCATACTTTTTAATGACAAAAAGTAGCTAGCAGTTATGTGCTTGAAAACTCAGCTCTCATGGCTGTTCATCCTTTTCCTTTATGCTAAGACTTTGTATTCTGAGTCATAGCAGGCAAAGCTTCAGGTGACAAAGGGGCCCCGACCTCATTCCACGACAGTTATTTCAGTGGCGCCTTGAAGCTTGGCATAACACCACTCTGACATGACACCATTTCTTTGCAATTGAGGCCAGAAAGAAATTGCTGCTTAGGAAAAAGCAGACTTGCAGAAGCTTCTCATGGGTCACAGCTAACCCTAACTTCTGGGTGATTTCTGCCAGGAGGGACGTTGGCTGATACAAGACAGGCAAGCAAAAGCAAGGCTGCTTAGCAAAACACTGATCTCTCCAAGGTATTTCCTTGGCAGAACCAGACTCGACTTTCAGCTTCCCTTCTTTTCGAGAAGCGCCTGAGGTTTCTCTTGCCAAACTGAGTGACAATTTTTAGAACAACGGCTGTACAGTGACAGTCAATGCCTGAGGAGGGTTCCCAGAACAGCGAGCTGGTTCACAGCCTTCTGATTTCTACAGAGTAAGACTGTGGGTCTACTGGAGTAATGACCCTAGGAAACAGTAAGCACATGCACTGAAAACATGATAGTTTTGAAAGGAGATCACAGAGGGTATCCTATAAAAGCTAGGGAAAAGCTCAGTTTCAGTACTCATTTTCATCCAGAAGATTTAGTTTAGGTATACTTTATTTTATTCAAACAAACTTGATATGAGTATGTTTCCAAACTCCACTTGGTTTAAAGTGAAAACATTAAAATAATCTCTGAGAGTTTTGACTCAAGTGCAAAGCCCCGTGTCAAGCCCAGGTCAGCCAGGAAAAGTTTCAGCATAGCAGAGCTCTTTTCACGTACACTGCATAAATTCAAGTAATTACTTTGTGGCTCATGATTTGGCATAAACACTTCACGTGATTTTAAGACCTTCCAAGATTTAATTCTTTCTTCTTTCTGAACTACAGTGTTCCCAATACAACATCAATGACAGTGTATTATAGCTGTATCTGTGATTATCTAAATCCCTGGGCTTGGTATAATTGTAATTCGCATCAAAATCTTTATTGAGGGTAAAAGTTATCAATTTGAGAAGAAAGAAAATAAAATGCTTAACGTAAGATAAAAAGCCAGTGATTGTTAAGCAGAGATTATACGTGTTATTATAAATTAGCATATATTGAAACATAAGTACTCTTTTTGTTATTTTAATGAATAATGCATTAAACAGAAATAATCAAGTATGTTGCAACAATGTAGGATTAAGAGGATTATTTCATTTCCTCAATAACAGTTTCCTTACTCATTTTTTTTTCTGTAATTTGAAATTCGGAATGCTTTTTCTTAAGATTTTTCCTAAGCCATGTTTTCGTCAATTACATACATTGATGTGTCTTTTCAAAACCTCGACACCTACATGCAAGGGGGAAAGTTGCTACCTAGCAAATGAAAGAAGATATGGCAAAGCATCTTAACTGACTTATTTTTATGTATTTCCTGTTCTTTATAATTTAAAAAAAGAGAGAGAGGGAGGCAAGAAAGTGGGAAGGAAAAGAGAGGGGTGAGGGAGAGCCAGAGGTTGTTTTAACCTGGACAGATGCCACTGAGGCAGCAGCAAACAGTGGCTCTGCAAGGGACTGGGACATGACAGATGTCACATGTTCTGTGGTGCGATAGCGATGTTGTGCTGCAGGAGGCTTGTTCATTTCGGGGTTTTGTGGAAAAGCTACAGCCAGCAGGGCCGTAATTCAGAAAAGCTTGTATAAACTAACTGCTGAGTAAATTCATATCCAGTGAATCATTCTTCTGTTTAAATAAATCGTTTGAAATGGGTGTGTTGCTGAAGCAAGGCCTAATCATAAGCCACTCTGCAGTATCTTCTTCTCTGGCTTCATGGTTCCTTTGGCCTGAACACAGTAATTACATATGAGCAATTTATGTAATGAATATTCATAATTTTCTCCAAAGCTTTAAGATAGCTTTTTTTTATTTCATCAGATGGACATGCCCCACCTGTATCTCAGTAGTATGCTATAGCTTACATTGGCTGTTGCAAGTAGTGTTGCTCGGTGCATGGATGGTTTAATTCTTCTACATCTTTCTTACAGGATGCTGTTGGCAGTAAGTGGAGAAAAGTTGACAGACCCTTCTGTAGTTATCTTTTTACTAAGCAGAAGCCTTTTGAGAGCTCAGGGTTTCAATTATGTGAATGCTTGGTGGTTTTATCTCTTGGAAAAGTATAGCTGAAATTTGTCAAACAACATGTGCAAAAGCCGGGATATTGAGCCTGTTAGGTTTCACTAGATGCTGTCTGTCAGTGGACTGAGCAGCGTCATGGAGTGACCATTATACAGAAAACCAGCAGCATCATAAGATGCTTATATAGTGCTTTGAAACTGCTTTTACAGCTGTGTGCCAGGAAAGATGTCTCTTTGTCAGAGGATCCTGAATAAACTGTACAAAACTCAACCAGATTCATAGGGGAGACTCTAGAATGTAATTGTTTCCAACCAGATTATTGGCAATTTTAGATATCATTGGAGAGAGTCACAATTCCAGTGATCTATGTAAGATCACACATGGGGTGTACTAAATCTCTTCTTACTAAGAAACTTTCAAAATAGTAAAGCAGATGAACATAACTGTAAACCAAAACCCACATCTTTTACAACTCTTTTAAATTTAATTCCTAAATTGATTGAAAATATCTTTTTTAAACAGAATATTATTGCTGAGCATGAAATCCGTAACATTTCCTGTGCTGCACAAGACCCTGAAGACCTTTCTACGTTTGCGTACATCACTAAAGACTTGAAGACTAATCACCACTACTGCCATGTATTCACTGCATTTGATGTGGTCAGTTTATAGAAGATACTTCATTTAATAATTGTTTGTAATACTATTTTAATTCTATTGAAACCTTTTCAGGGTATATGGGGGTTAATGGAAGGTGTCATTCATTTACCACATGAAAAGGCTCATCTACTATGGGATAGTAAAAGGACATTTCTGGAGAAGAGCTAATATTTTCTTTGATACTATCTCATTTGCTATCTGAAATAACTCACCTCTGTAATCACAGCTGTTGACTGTAAACTTGGCAAGTAGCATTTCATACAAGTCTTGACATATAATTCTTCTAACCTAAGCTATAGCCTTCCAAGAAATTTGTAACAAGCAGGTTTGGCCATCCATTCTGAAATCTGAGTGCAAACCAGATAAACAAATCAGAACTGGATCAATGTGCATTATATACAGTGCTCAATCCTGCTAAAAGGTAAGTTCAAGTAGTTTGAACTATGTTTGCAGGGCATCGTATGTTTTTAACTGCATTGTACTGCCTGTGGTGGTAAAATCCCACCTTCACAAAGCAGATGTGGGCTGCTTTTTTGGAACAGAGGTGAGATGTTGCCACCGTAAGTGATTCCTTCAGATTTCTTACCTTGCTGTACTGACTTCTAGTGTTTCAGTGTTAAGCTGGATCAGTCCCAAAAACTCAAAACATCTATCTAAATATTGTTAAGACTTTTTGACAATATATTGAATGAATTGTAAGACTGAAGCTTCCACTGAAAATGTGTAGAAAATGTATGAGAAGTTTTCTGTTTACTTTAACCAGAGAACCAAAACACTTAGATATCTGACAGAGACCACACAAGTAGCTAATTACCTATCTCAAGAGTTCCTAGGAATATTTGGCTACCACACTGAAACATTTGAAACATCTGTGATAACAGAGATCTGTGTATTTTCCTTTTTGTGCTCCTGTGTAAGTTTACCCCTGTAACTATCAACAGATTAAGTTATTAAGTATTATTATTAAATACTGTTATTATTGTTACTATTATAGGGTCCCTCTGTTCTGCTCTGCTGTCCTCTCTGTCATGTCAGTTGAATTTTTACCTTAACAAATAATGCAGATACGGAATTTGGGGAAATTTTATTTTAGCAGCACCTTTACCTTTGCCAAAAGATTGCCTTTATTTTGAAAATAACACATTAATGCTTTAATCCTTTACTTCCTTGTTCCAATCTTCTTGCCTAGAAATCTCAAAAATATTATTTCAGCAGAAGTCCTTACAGCTCCTGATATTTTGGTGGAAAATGACTAAGTTCTTCATATATTTATGCTTCTCAGGTGGTGATGCACAGGCTGCTACTGTTTCAAGAAATCATGAACACATATCAGTTAGTCAGTCATGCTGTTCCAGCTAAATTTGGTGAAATAAGTAGTGGCTCTGATTTTTAGGACTAAGAGGACTTATTGTCCAAAACTTTCAGGAGTGCTTGCCCTCTAAGTTAAGCACAAGATAAATTTAAGATGCTATTAAAACTCTAAAACCATTCAAGAGAAAAATATTTTAGTATAGTATAATGTGTGTGAAGTCTTGAAACATGCTTATGTGAATATAAATGTGCTAAATCAAAGAGATTAGAGGTGTCTGAACTGAGGCATTTTATTTGGGCCTCGGAAAATAGTCAACATTGCAGAGCGAGAGCTCTGGGAGAGTTTAAATAGTAACATGTACAGAAAGGTAGGTTTGAAGGAATTTTAACATTTTGGTTCAGTGCTTTTGTTGTTTAAATTCTCTGCTGACATTTTGGTGTCCACAGGGAGTAGAAAGAACTTCAAAATTTTGTTAAAAATAGAGACCATGGTCAATAAGATGTTACATTATATAGCTTTTAGCGATAAGTGAATCAGCTGAAATTAGACTGATGGAAGTTATTATTTCTCATGATCTATTTAAATACTTGTTAATGCTTTCAAAGTACTGCTGTTTCATTTATAGGATTAATAATCAAGCACAAACAAAGAGCCAGGTATAGTAGATGAAATTCATTTTCTTCTTGCTTGGCAAGGAAAGAATAGCGATCCAGGAATAATTACAACATTTTGTTCACTTCCTGTACCTCAGGAGAAGCATTTAATACCCCAAGCATTTTAGCTATTTTAAGCAATACAGAAACTTTAATGTCTAACTAACTATCTTGACTTAGTTTTCTCTTGCAACATAATCCTTAGTAGCATGTTACCTACTCAAATATTCTTTTTGTGTTGTTTTATTTCTCAGAACCTAGCACTTTCGAAATCCCAAAGTACAAGCCCCAAAAACAATAGCTAGATATGCAGAGTGCAAGCATACAGGACATTACATTTGCTGTTCAAAGTCTAAAACTTACGTTAGCCTAATCTTTGAGTTAGCTAATAGAAACAATCCTACCTGTTAGTCAATGGAGAGAAGTCAGTCATATTAAGAAAAATACAATCTGAAAGGGTAGAAATCCACAATAAAGTAAAAAAGATTCATCTAAAACATATATATTATGGTAATACAATATATGCAATGGTATGAAAAAAATTTTACTCTCTCAGGTCCTGCAGTTCCTCAGGAAATGTGGGCAAGAACAATTTTATTTTGCAGCTAGGAAAGCATTTTAGTGTAGTGACATGTCAATCACTGATACTTACGATTTGGGAGTGACTGTACATGTAACTTGTCTACTCAATGTTAAATTCTATAATCAAAATTGCAAAAACATCAGAAAATTAAAGAATATTGAAAAGGACAAGACTTGGGGGAAGAAGAGGATTTATTGTTCAATATATGAGATCTTTATGAGTCTCGTTCACTTATAAAGCAGCCCTAAAACTGTAAGTGAAGGATTCCCTCTGGAGAAACGAAGCATCGTAACAGTTCCTATACTAAATTCTGGTTCATAGACGGGAGACATCCAGAGTAATTTCCATCAGAGATTCCTTTATTGCCCAATGCACCTATGAATAGAATACAACTGGCAGTAAAAAAGTCAGTTAAGATGTAATAAAACAATTGGCCATTGCAATAGGTTGTCTGAGTTAAGGCGGCTGAAGAGTCCTGACTCAGGCTTGCACCGGGGCACTGTTGTAACATTATGTGGCAAACAAGGCAGTTGACCTCATTTCTCATCTCCCAGAAATTGTTGCTGAAGGTTGTTAGCTCACTCACTCTCCTTCTCTGCTGAGCTGACTGTGGAGCAGGATTGTAGCATCCTCAGTAAGTAGCACCATGGTCCTGAAAGTTTTGCCTCCTTTCTAAGGAGCCTGGTGGAGTGCTGTAAAGGTCAATGTCTTCCACAATGACCAGCAGGTCTACAACTTTTGTACTAAGTGTCTTTCAGGGAGGCAGATCTGTTTCCTTCCTTTTGTACCACATGTGAAAAAATCAGATAGTCTCTCACTCCATCAGAATTTCTACAATGGATTTTGTGATTTGGTTTTCCACCCACATCCCCAAGGTACTCCTGCTGTTCTCTCTCTAATACAGCACCTGCAAGAATCCATACCAACTCTAATCCTCATATTCCTCTTCCACTACTTCAGGTGAGAAATTCCTCAAACCAAACTTCTTTACTTCTGGGTTTTTTCAAAATACAGTTTTTCAGATAGGTTTTTTGTTTTGGTTTTGTTTTTAATTTTACAAGGCACAATTATAAAGCCCTCCTTGCATCCACTTGCAGATTTCTCTTCATCAAAGCTCTACCGCAGTACACGATGTATGAAATCTACGTACAAGTTCAGTTTACATTTCAAATCTTGAACAGAACAGTGGATGTTCTGTTTTGTTTGCTATATTTCAAATATTTATTAACCATAGGAACAGTTACATGTTTTCTGTGGCTTTCAGGCTCCAGGCAGGCCTGTTTCTTCATTTTACAGGTTACAAAAAGAAAACAAATCATAGTTGCTTTAGATGAGATAAAGGAGCCAGACTGGATTTATGTCAAACTCTCTGCTTGTCTCCACTCTTATCTCAAGAGCTTTCCAGGCCTATGTCTCAGTGACCTTTTTCTACGCCACACTGATGGTACATTTTCTCAGTCCCAGTAGTATTGCAGTCTGTGTTTTCTCGAGGCCATTACTATGCCCTGTCCTGTTGACATATTCTTTAGCAATAGTAATAGCCACCGTAGACAATCCCATGGTGATATATTATACTGCCTTACTGCCATGACAGCTGATTAAGATGTCTTTAGAATAATATCCTTGTCCTACTAATAGATGTGCTCCGTTTCAAATAATATTATTCTGTACATTTTTAACAATTATACTCTGTTGGTCTTAATTCCATAGCTAGCATTCTGCTAAAAGGCAGGGCACTTTGTAATAGTCTCTTTAGTCTTTCATTTATTACTCCACTGGCAAACTGCATCCTCAGTGTTTCACCATCCTGGCCAGTCTCCATAATTTAAAGAGGAGACAATGCAGAAACTACTGATATCAAATCAGACAGACGTTTTTATTTGGGAAGCTATGAAACTTTGGTTAGCTTGCTGTTGTGACCACAGTCATAGCAGCTGAGAACATATCCCAGTGGAGGAGTATAATTGCTTTCTGTCTGACCTAACAAAGCCCAAAGCTGGCTCCTCCATAAGAAGCTCTTACAATGAGCTGAATATGCTGAATTTAGCCTCTACTATCTCAGTATACATGTGTAGTAACAAAAGGATGCAGTTTCTTCATTACTACAGTGAAATTGCAGTGTAGGACATGAAATAAAATGTCCTGCATTTTACATTAACACATTAACTGTGTTTTGACAACTGAAGGGCAGATAGTGTGCTTCCAAGTGTTTTGTATTGCCTTCTGGCTTGTCGCAAACTCAACAGCTAGACTTGACTATGTAAACAGATATCTCATTTAAAATTTTATCAGAAACATGGGAATTTTAAGGGATCACCTAGTTTCAAAGCAATGCAGGATTGCTTCCAACTATGGGCTGCACAGGTAGAGGAAGGAGATGGTAATTCTGAATTGCATTACAGATGTATGAATTATTCTGTGGAGACCATAGGACATAAAGTGGCAGGCCTGAAGGCTTGCATTTGCTCTGCAGGGGTTCAAAACGTTGTTGCAAATTGAGTAGCCTAGAAATAGGCTCTGGTAGGAGCCTAGAAGTAAATGTACCAAAACAAACCCACAAACCTGAAAAAAAATTACCATAGAAATTCACTTGCAGTTTAGATTAAGATCAGATTTGAAACTCACAGCTGCTTTTTCATTGATGTAAAACTGTGCTGAAAAACTGTTTATACCAACCCCCTGGTTCCTCATTCATGCTTTATAAACCTTTCAACAGGTTTTCTTCGACATGAGAACTTAAAGTATTCCAGCAATACCACTAAACTGTCTTAGTCTCAAGAGGCTGACAACTTTGGTCATACACAGTAACCCTCAAAACACGCTTACCAGAGTATTCTGATATGCCAGTTTGAGCTCAAACATTTGTACTGCTAGGGAAAAAAACAAAAACACACCACAAAACATGAGAAGGTTTCCCTAGCACTTGAAACATGCATCTGATGTGGAACACTGACTGTCGTGCATGCGTAGGTGCCGCATCTGTGGAGCAGGAGGGGGTGGACTAGATAACCTTTGAAGGTCCTTTCCAACCCAAACCATTCTATGATTCTGTGATTCTATGACATTTGTTTTCGTCCTTTCGTAAGTACCACATAAATGCTGCATCCTCTTCCCGTGCTGTTCAGTGAGAGTGCAGTGCATCCTGAGGCACATGGCCAGGGAAGCAGCGCGTCAGGCTGCCAGTTCTGGAGGAGGACAGGTCAGCAGAGGAGTTCTGAAATAGAGCAAGGCTGAGTGTCAAATAGATGCAGTAGTGCAAGATGGGTGGGTTCTTGAGAGCAGCAGGTCTGGGGTGACCTGAGAAGAGGGGGATGAATGCACTTGTTCTAAAAAGAGATGACACACACTCACCCAATCCTGTTTTCATGTTTAGTGAGACAATGTTTTCAAGGTTTTTAAGAAGTAATTACTTTCAGTACAATAAATTACCCTTAGTTTGGTCTTAATCGATGAGAAATCAAATGACAGATGTAAATATTAGAGAGACTAAAGAAGTCATTACCAGCATGATTTTAATTATTTACATTACAAATCACTTCTGTAAACAGTACTACTCCACTTCATGTGTCTGATGATAGTTCAGCCTCACTCTAATTTTAACTGGTTTTGTTTTGTTTCAGAATTTAGCTTATGAAATCATTCTTACACTAGGACAAGCATTTGAGGTGGCCTATCAGCTTGCACTACAAGCACGAAAAGGGGGCCATTCTTCAACCCTCCCAGAAAGCTTTGAAAATAAACCCTCCAAACCTATTCCCAAACCACGTGTTAGTATTCGGAAGTCAGTGGTAAGTAAAAGGTAGTTGTGCATGCAAAAATAACAAAATTCAGCTATACAGTTAAGAGCTGATATATTAGAAGCTGTAAAAATAAATATACCTGTTGAGTCAGAAATGCTCCCTGTCTCAGTTGTGCCTCCTCTGCTCATCAGCTGGTGGGGTTGTGTCACTGCAGCACAGGTAGCCGTTTCAAACAACTGCCCATTTCAGATTCCTCCAGATAAGGCATGGCTCTTTGAATAATTGCAGAGCTTTAATTGATTCAGTCTACTTCCAATGTATTGTGATTTTTTTAAGTGCTGAAGGTGACAGCCAGTGCATACCTCTAAAACTCTGCAGTTCCATGGACTTTCCTGATCTCCTACCAAGAAATAAAACTTGCACCAAACTTGCTTGATACACTGTCACTGCATATGTATCCTAATCAAATTACAAATCCAAATCAATTTACAATTATCTTATCAGATCAAGCAAGTTCTTTTCTTACCTTTTTTTTTTTTTTGCCCCTTGGCTGACCTTCCTGCTCCAAATCTGGGATTTAATATACTTTTTCAGTATTTTCTTCGGAATCCCAAACACCTAAGAATCCAAGCTCATTGGAGCCTACATATTAATTGCCTTTAGAGTGCCCTCCTGAAGTGCATAAATGACAGAGGAATATTCTTTTATGGTAGAGTTTTTAAAAATATTATGAAAACTATCTTAAACGCACTGAGATTACAGGTACAGGGTCACTGGGAGGGAAAACGGGAAAAATGACCGCACATTGTATCATATTTGCTGGCTATAAAGTGAGAACCATACTCTCTGATGTTTAACGATTGATTGGTTGAGAAGAAAGGGAAAATAAGTGTGACTGTGCACTTTGTCACCCATTACCACAGAAACTTGCTCCATAAAATTTTAAGATAGAACATTTCCTGATGTCATCTTCTGCCTCAGTAGCAAAAGGACTTCTCAGGATCAGGCATGGGTTTAATGAACTATGACACCCTATAGCTCTCAGCTAGACATACCTCTGACATACATAGGAAAAAGAGGGCAACCATGGGTACATGGGAGTGTAGACCACCACACTCACTGCTGTAGGACTTTGTAGATACAGGATTTGTTCCCTGTTCTCTTAATTCAAACAAAAACTTTGCTAGAAATGCTGTGCACAGAGATGGTAACCCTGGATGTTTGCATTTGTCTTAAAGCAGATAGATCCGTCCGAACAAAAGACTCTCGCGAATCTACCTTGGATTGTTGAACCTGGACAAGAGGCCAAAAGAGGCATTAATACCAAGTATGAAACTACAATTTTCTGATACAAAACTGTCCCCCCTTCCTTGTTGTGCCTTGCACGCCAAGCAGTCACAGCACAGCCTTTCCTTTTTGGCAACGTTTCAATCCAGCAGAGAGGAAGACTGCACTGTATGAGTGGCCTTGTAACTAACAAAAAAGGCTGACAGTCATTTCTGGTGATGTTCTTCTTCCTGCAGCACTGACAGAAGAATGACACTATATGAAGACTTTTAAAATTACAGTCCACAAGAGGAGTGAGAAACCTTATTTTTCACGCAGTTCTCCCTTGTGATGCTGCCACAGTGCTTTCTTTGATTTCTTATTTTAGAATTCTACTTTTTAAGAAATAAAAAAACCGAAAGGTCTCTAAACAAACACTAATGCTGCCTATGAGTAGAATATTTGATTGGTTTTTTATTTAAATCTTGGCAGTTTTTAATTGAAATAGAACCAGAATTAATAAGTAGAGTATTTGTGAAACCACTGAATTCATTAATAATTACTGTGTTGAATAAAGAACTTACTAAAGTGACAAGAAATTAGGCACCCTGATTTCTGTGTGCGCTGGTTTTATATGTAATCATTGGTGTCCTTTGATCCTCTACAGAAATAGAACCTCTTGCATTGTCACAAAGGATCAGAGTTTTATGAATGGTTAGAAAAAGGTATTAATAATGCACAGAAAACATTTATTAGATATTTTTATGGAAGAGAAGTACTATAGGAAAACATATGAATATTTATGGAAGGAAGCCAGATTAATTATGACAAATACTGTTTATTTTAAAGTTAAGTAAACCACTGCTATTGCAGCATTATGAAAAATGTAAGAGTTGTAGCATCAGTGCACTGGATGTTCCATGTGATCAGTCTGGAATGAAAGTGGAATGGTCATTCTACTACACCTACATATAGCTTATGCAGTTCAACATTGCTATAGCCATGAATTCTACTAGTATTTTTAAAAAATAATCTCAGTGGTTCTAAAAGAAGTCAAAACCATGGATTTTTGCTATCAAGATTTCTGTCACAGAAAGCTTGTTTAGAAGCGTGTTGATAAAATTCTACTGCAAAAACATTTTCTAAGTAAAAATAGTGAGAAAAAGAAAAAAATTCCAAAGTAATAAAAATGTTTTCATGGAACAAAACAGTTAAGCATTTGCTTAATATTTGATTAAATAAGATTTACTTACATTTTCTTTGAAGTGTTTTAATTTTTTTAATGTCTGTGGAGTATTTGTATAATACCATGATGTATATTTATGTAGAACTGAAATTATAACAGTACAAATATCACTATAGGAGAAAAATGACATTTTAACGTATACTGTTCTATCCAGTCAAATTGTGAATCATTTTGAAGTTCATTATAGAGATATTGATAAATTGTGTGGTTGTCTTACTGTTTTTTTAATTATTATTTCATATCCAGCTGAGGTTTTCAGTTAGAATCATCAGTTGGTAAATTCCAAAACATGGATAATTGAACTTGGTTTAAACCTGATCATTGTATATGGTTTAGTTAAACCTAATCATAGCGCTGAGTGATGACATACTTTTAATACAGTATTCAATTTACTTGAACAAAATAGTTCCGTGTACATATTTTTGCCTATTCACTGTTGATATGTATGTAGTCAACTGACAGTAAAAAAAATAACACTAAAAATATGGTACCAAAAGGAAAATTGTATAGGAGAACAGTAAATAGTAGCCTCACTGCAACAAATACTTATGTAAATATGCTTGGGCTTCCAGTTATAAATTTTGTAATTTTGTCATTTATTTATATCCTATAAAAGCACACAAAATAAAATGAAGTTGTACAGTCCCAATGCTTTGTGCATCGTTTCCTCATTGCTAAAGGAAGTAAGGGGCCTGATCCAGAGGATACTGACATCAGTGAAAGGTCCTCCCCTCTCCTTTCCCAGGCTTTGGATCTTCTCCCAGGAAAACCCAGGCATTGCTATGGAGACAGTTTTGGTTTAGAATACAGATTTTGTTTACAGATGGCAAATGCTTCATACTTTCAATCCTTAATTACCTGGATCTTTGGTACACTACTGAACTGCTGACTTACCATGTTTAATCATACCCTATAAAGACTCACACAGGGAGTTATGTTAAAACACATTCACTTTAGGCTCCGAAAGTACAAAGTGGACAGATTTTCAGGCTATGAAACTGGGGCACCTCTCATGTGGCTGAGTGACCCCTAAAACTAAAGGATGAGACAGGAGCTGCAGCACAACTCTAAGCAGATGTAAGGGAAAGGAGTGAAACAACAGGAAGAACCGGCAACTTGCAGGAGGAATTTGATCAAGGCTCATCAAAGAGATGTCAAGCAGGTAAGGCGGCACAATAAGCAGCTGAACTTGTTTGGGAGAGAGAACTGGGGCAAAAGAGACTGCGGATGGCTAGCAAGACTGATGAAAGATGAGGCAGATGAAAGACTGGTGGGGCAGGGAATAAATGTGAAAATTTTGGGGATGCAGTGAGGCAGTGAACAACTGGATCCCCCACAGCAGGCATAAACTGAAACCAGAAGGAAGAATTAATAGGTACAAGACACTTCTGTACTTGCAGAAACCTGAGATTTTAGAGGGAAACATTCCTTCACTAATCGACACTACTGCAAGCCAGTTGGAGAGAAGTCCATGGGGTCCTCTCTGGCATGGGCAGTGAGTCAGCACTCGTTTCTTCAGACCCAAAGAAACTCCTACAGACCTGCACTAACCCAGACCAGTTACCACTTGACCTTTAGTCTTTTTTGGTCAAGGTGACTTTCCATTCAAGTTCCTATTATGCTGGAAGTGTACAGTAAGGGGACAATGATCAGTCTTGAAGGTATGGAAAAAGACATCTCCAAAAGATCGGAAAATGAGGAAATTTGCTATTTTTGACCTCTACACTCAAGGTAAGAGGGAAACAGAGGCAGTCAAGGAGAGTATGTGAAGAAAGGGAGCATTTGGATGTTGCAAAACCAGGAGTTAATTGAAACAACTGCCTTACAGTGGGAAGGTGAACAAGCAAGAGAGATCATACAGAAGTAGGCTGCATTTGATGTTATTGAGAAGATAAGGAAATTGGAATGAAAGTGAGGTAAGTGTGGGTGACAAAGGATTTTGAGAATTATTTGGGTAGTGAGGTCTCTAATATGCAAGGTAAAAAAGTTGCTGCTCAGAAAAGGCTTAAAGACTGGAGAAACTCCAGTGAGAATTTTGTGTGGTGGAGGTGGAGGGTTTCCTAAAGCAGATGTTGCATTTCAGACTCAACAGAGTGACTTCTCCAGCCGGGTCTGGTGTTTATTAATAGCCATATGAGCTACAGCTTACAGCTGGCAGGAAAAGACACTCAGCTTTTCTGGTTCTGATATTTCACCAACAGCTTTATGAGAGGCTGCCTCTCCTGCAGAACAACAGTGTTGCACATGACTTGAAGTTTGAAGCCAACACCTCAGCATCAAAAACAGGCAAGAACATAAAATGACCATTGAGAAGAGAATTAGCAGGTCATGAGAAAGGTTGTGTCCCTCCTTTTGAAAAGAAAGCAGCATACTAGACAACTAATAAACTTTCACAACCAACTGTGAAATAGTTCACAGCTTCCATGCTAGGTTAAAATAGGCAGTTTGTGCCATGTGCAGAACTGTCATTTAATTTTGCCCTAGATTTCTTTCAGTGTGTGCTGTTCAGCTGTCCTGCTTCACACTTCACTGGAGGATGATGTCTTAAGGTGTCATCAAGACAACAGTCTAGAAATAGTAACTTCAACTGTCCCCAAACTACCAGCCCAAAGAACAATTGACTACAGAGGAACTGTGTGGCAGCGACAAGCGTGTAAATGAAAGACATGACATAAGAATTAGAGACACTCTTTAGATGGTGGGCACTCACCTAAGAGGAGGGATATCCATTATCTCACATAAGAACACCAGCTGAGGGGAGTCAGATTAGAAAGGACTTTTAATTTGCTGGAAATATTGACAGGATTTTCAGCTCACTGGAAGGCACAAGAGATAATGTTCAGGCTTCTCCTGAAAAGCTTCCCAACTGTTTAGTGCTCTATAACTTTAAGTGAACCAACTTCTTTGCTAAACTAGTAAACTGACCATATTGCTATTAAGTCCTCTTCTGAATACACTGGTTCTAGTTAACTTTCACACATGTGAGCTGATAACCCGAGCTAGACAGAGGCTGATCACAAACAAAAACACAAGATCGACTTGCAGACAGAGTTCACACTAGGACATAGGTTTGGTGGATGATTTTCTTCCTACTGGCTGGACAGTCACACTCACCTTCATTAGAAACCTGAATGCAACCAGCCCAAACACTGCTGTCCTACTGAAGAGGCAGAAAAGAGAAGTCAAGGAAAAGGCCTATGGCTTTCACCTTTCAGGAAAGATGTGTTCCAAATGCCGGAATGGGAAACAGCACCTCCATGCCTGGCTCCCACTCTTGTACAATACCACAAGGAAATTTCTCTTCAGTCCTACTTAATGTTTATATGCATTTGCTAGTAGCACATATTTCACCTTTCTACTGTGGAAGTGAGGTACGTAGATATCTTTGAGAATGTGGGTCTGGGTGAAGTGGAAACAACTAGATAGATGAAAATGCTATCAGGTATGTAAATGAAACAATATTTTCTCTCTCTACTCTTGCCACCAAGAGCTTGGAACAGAAAGCTATTTTTTGTATCAATCGAAAAAGCTGAATTTGAAACACTTTACAAAAGCCTTACAGAAAAAGCGAAGCTAAGACAGAAACTGAGGGCCTTAGGCTGCTTCCTTACACATGGAAAATATATCACTAATCTAGCATCATAAGCTCACTTAATTGTAAGATACAAACCTTTTTATGGGTTTTTTTAAACAAGACAATTCCTATCTTCAAGTCACGAGAAGAACTGCTCAAATTCTCCAGATCCTTATCCAAAGGTAAATGTATAAGAATAAAAAAATCCTATTAAAAAACAAAACTAAAAATTCATGCACAATGTTAAAGATGGGTCAGTGCTTGAGAAAACATGTCCAAATTTCAAGGCAGTATATCCATTATCATCTTTTCTAACCACATAATAGAAAACACAAAAAGTCAGAGTGAGACAAAGGAAATGGAAATATGCTCCAGAATAGAGAATACCTAAAGAGCATTAACTTTATCCTATAGTGACACCATGAGGAAAAAAGAAATAGACTACACTAATTTCAAAACCGCATTAGATGCAGTGCAGCCTTCAATCTTCTGCTTGTAATTGTTGGGTAATGATAACTTCTAGGCTGCAGAATTAAGGGTTTGAGCATGTCCTAAGCAAAAATATCCTGATGAATATAATTGAGGATAGTACCACTTATTTCTTCAGTTTACATTGCAAAGATTAGTAGAATTCTTTTTCTTTAGGTTACCTTTATATACTTATACTATTCTGTACAGTCTGGAATGTATCAGTGATGGGTTAGGTGAAAATTCTTCATTGGAATTGAGCGAACATACTGAGACCTCCAAGTATCTGGGAATGCCGTGCATGAGCAGAGGTTGATATGAAAAGATGTTAGATCAATCACCATGGCCGTGTCTCTGCCACAGCCGTTACATTACTCAGCTACACTTACGTAAAGCTTCAAGAATTACCTAGGCCAGATACCTCAAAAACCTTGAAAATTAAACTTATTTTTACAAGAAGTAGTAAAGAAAAGATGGTACAAAGGTGCCATCACTATCCCCAACCCCTGATATGGCAGGAAAGCCTTTAGGTGAGAAGTATTTAAGTAGTTCCAGCTGGTGATACACACGGCCTGTCCCCTATACTACAGAAACAAATGGGGAAAAACATCCCTGCCAATCTGACTTAGGGGAAACCCATTTCCCAGACAGAAATCTAGTCACTATGTGACACAATCTACAAGGAAATTGGACTAGGAAAACAAAACATGTTTCACCTGAAGGCACAGATCACCTGTGTGCAATACTGCACTTCCTAAAGTAGCCAATCTCACAGAATGGTTTGGGTTGGAAGGGACTTTAAAGCTCATCCAATTCCAATCCCCCGCCACGGGCAGGGACACCTTCCGCTAGACCAGGCTGCTCAAAGCCCCGTCCAACCTGGCCTTGAACACT